TGACGATCATGGTTCAGACGGACATAGAGCGCTTCATATGAAGAAGTATCATTTGCCGATTTGGCATCCCTTAATCCATTGTCACCGACAACGGCCCGCAATTCGTGGGCAAAGATTTGGCAAAGTTCTTCCAAAAATATGGCATCAAGCAGCACATGTCTACGCCAAGATATCCTCAAGGCAATAGGCGGGCCAAAACATCCACTAAGATGATCCTCGACTGCTGTAAGAAATCCCCCACCAATAAGAAAAGAAAATGGTCAGACGAACTCCAATGATGTTTATGGGCATATCACACAACCAAAAGACGAGCAACCGAAATGAGATGGCCACAAACTTAAATCTGGCAGAAGAGAGGCGCGAACAGACTATCACTCGCATTGCAGCCTACCAGCATCAACTCCTCTCAAGCTACAACAAAAGGGCCAAGATCCAGCAGTTCCAGCTCGGAGATCTGGTCATAAGAAAAACCTTCATCACTGCCAGCAGAAAAGGCTCTAAAAATATGGATCCCATCTGGGAAAGTCCGTACAAGATCAGCAGAGTATGTGGTAAGAACAATTACACCCTCGCCACCATAAAACGACAAAAAGATCGAAAAACAGTGGAACGCCTACAATATGAGGAAGTACAATGTGTGACATCTCGCTACATCAAAGCCCGAAGACTCAAGCAGCTCGACGGGCACTACCTCACCAGCCGAGGATTATCCAGTTGTTATGCAGTTCTTACCTTATATCTAAGTTCTCGTTCGTTTAACTTGTTTTTCAATGAGGAATTCAGAAGTAATCACGACTTGGCTTGGCTGCATGCTTACAACAACTGATCACTCCTGCACTTCAAAAGAAGACCGCGCCCTTCTTAGGGACTTACCGCAGGAATTGCGCCCCCCGAGGGACCAACCATGCTCTCCAGTGCGAGAGGGTAAACTAATTGATCTCCAACGCGAAAAGGTAAACCAATTCCCCGACACCCACATGGGTCAGCTCTTCAAGAATGGGAGGATAAACTCTACACTTCGAATATCTAGACGTGGATGAGCCGGGCTACCTTAGTATAACTAGATGCACGATGGCTTGCGCCGGGATTCTTAGAAGTAGCCGTAATGGTCTTTTTCAAGCCTTAGCTAACTGAAGGAATTTGGGTCTCTTGGCCTAATCCGTGGGGAACCGGGCCCTAGAGACGGAGAGGGCACATTACGCAGTACATCCGATGGACGACTACCCTGGAATCCTAAAGCTGCTACCGAGTGCACTAAGGTAGTCTACAGATTTCGGAAGACTGCTTACGGCTTGCCCTTCGAGCAGTAAAGCCGCACTAAACTTATACAACCGCACATTCTTGTGAAAGGTTAAACAAGCTAGCACGCATATACGAAGTTTTATCCACTGCCGACATGCTACGTAGTCGATAAGCTTCACCTCTGCCAAGCGCGGAACAACCTACACCAAGTCCTAAAGTGTTGTGATACTTGCTACGCAACCTACGAAATTGGAGAAAGTCAAGGTTAACAACCTAGTGGTTACGCGGACTTGTCTGCTTCTGTAAGTAAGGCATCTAGTTGCCAACCTAATGACTAACAACTTTGCAAAGTTCTACACCAACACCTACGGCTACATAGGCTACGCGAGCTTGTCTGCTTATAAAAAAGTAGCATGCTTGCCACTGGTCTATCAAGTCTAAAGGTTAGGGCATGAACAAAAGAAGCAAAAATGAAGAAAAGCTAAGGAAAACATGTTTATAAACGACTAGTAAAGGCCGAATGAGTTCAAGCAAAACATGAGCTACAAGGAAAAACAAAGAAAATCTTAAAGGCTACCTAGATGACTACATTTTAGCAGCCTGGACATCCCACGACTATTCGGTCGCCACACCTTCAGCAGCTGCGAAGCTCTTAGTAGCGGCATCACCCCTGACTGCTCCAGCCTAGGCACCAACTTCTCCAACTACTTTACCAATACCAACATGGACGCGCTGCAGCTCATCCATTTCTTTCTTCAAACTTTCGTTGATCTTCAGTACACCTTGAAGTTCCAACACTTGGGGTTCAAGCCTATCAACGATTCTCTTAAAGTGGATCACTTGATTATAAGCAGCAATCAACTTTTCATCCTTTGCATAAGCAGCGAAAGAAGTCTTTTGGTTTTTTCTCAGCCGGCATCTCTTGAGCAGGCAGGGAAGATCCATTTTCCCACCTTCACTTGCAGCAAGATCCACAACGGTGATTGGATGAGCCAATGCATCCGCCTTGATCCTATTCACCTCTTATTTTAAGAGCATCCCACGTTTCTCCTGACGAAGAGAGTTAAAGTAGCCAACGTCATTCGTGCTACCCAGCAGGGGAGTTCAACCCAACATTCCAGCAGCTCATGAGGCCCGCAACCTCTTCAGTCACCTGCCTAGCTCGCGTCATGTCCAAAAGCCCAAAAAGACATGAGCCATGTGACTCGCCTAGCACTGCGCCACAGCACCACAATCCGTGGCCCCAGCCATACAAGCTGCCATTGGTTCTAGCCAAGTCGAGCAGCTTAAAGCAGTTGTCTCTGCCACAATACCTCATCGGCCCATGCCGAGTCGACTTCTGGCCTATGCCAGCGGACGTGCCGCACCACCCCGACGGCTGCCCCGAGGTAGCACCATCCAAGAAGAAGACAAGGAAAATTAATTTTTTCTTACCTCAGTGCGGCACGAAGAAGACGAAGAAAGCAACGAAAGACGGTCCTTTGCACGGGCAAGATGTAGAAGATTGCTAGAGGAGGGGGAACAAATATCCTCTAAGCTATCTCTCTCTTGTAGGGTAGAATAAATCGCTCTCCAAAGTTGATTTAATAACCCACTTAAGGTGGACTTAAATAGGCTTTGAGAGAAATTTATTTCCCTTTCCTAGAAGGATCTAATTTCCTATTAAAAAGAGATCTACATCAAAATAGGAAGCAGTCATAAGTTTCCTAAAGCAAGAAGATCTCTACACATGCTGCCCTTTTCTGCGAGCAGCTCAACAGGTGTGGGGGCATTTGTGGAGCCAAAAATATTCACAAGGCGACACGTGGATTTTTGGACAAAAAGGACAAAAATACCTTTGCAGTACAACGAGGTTCCCACGCGCAAGCAGCGGGCAACCCTCTTTCAACCAAGACAGAAGTGCCCAAAATAGGTAACAATTCAAAGTCCATCTCATCAAATCCTTTCTACAAGGTAATTCCCAAACACATTCCTTTTAAATTATGTTAATTGGCTAATTAATGGGTTTATTGCCTAATTAACCCATTAATTGTCAATTAAACCATCCATTATATCCAAATAACCACAAAATACATCCAATTCAACCCTAAAACACCACATGGCCGGCTATCCCCATTCAAAACCTAATCCATCACTTTTTCTACCTTTTTTCACCATTTCTTCCTTTTTATTAGCCAATTAATTCCATAATCAAAAAATATTTCCTTTTATGTTTAATTAGCCAATTAATTGGCTAATTAAACCAAAATAAAACCTAAACCAACCTAGCCCTATAAATAGGCTCATATTTTCACCAAATATTCATTCCAACACTTTGGCAAAAATTCTAAAATTCTTTAAACACTCTTTCTCTCTAAATTCTAACTTTGGCATCGGAGGTTCTTCGGCCAAAGCCCCCCCCATTCATCGTGGGCGCGTGAGGCTCTTGGCCTTAACCTAAGGTGTTAATTGTTTTGTAGGTGCAAAATTGTCCAAGATCAAGGAGGAAGAAATTTGCATCCACAACATGCAATTGGTACGTTCGTTAGGTGGCGAGAAGGGCGCAAGTGTTTTAGACAATTTGGTACGTTTGTACGATTCATTTAGGACTGTTGTATAAACTTAAAACAAGAGGGCAGCAATTGCGGAAGCATCTATTGTGATTGCTTAATTTCTGCTATAAATTTGCCGCTGGTGGACATTACGACAACCTTAGAGAAACACCAGGTAGAAAGCAGGTTCCAGGTTTTGGCGTCTCTCTTGGAATTGTGACACTCTCTGTTGGCTTTAGAACCCTACTGTCAATGAATAGCTTCCCTAGCTCCAATCTTTCTAATTTAAACTAGCAAAATCAAAACCTGTGGTATTTGAACAACATGGAGAAAAAGTGGATCGCATGAGTGAAGTTGGGTTTAATTTCCGATATTTCCAATACCAACTTGTATGACATTAATAAATTACCGTAATAATGTTTTATTTTAATAATACAAAAGTACGTATGAAAAATCAACACACATATATATTTTCATATAAATAACAAAAACGTTTTTATAATAATGTACATGTGCCATACAAATTCTTAATTCCCAATCGATTTTTCCAACCAAATTCCAACCGCCCACCCCACCCAACAAGCCGGCGCATCCATTGTTGATTATTATTCTCAATTGTCGCCGAAAAAAATTAAAGTAAAAGAATCTATTTATTATTTGATGTGAGACTCCAGTGACAGACTACCACAGATACATTCGTCAAGAAAATAAGCACACGATCGTGTAATCCTAATTGGTCTGTCTCAGATAGACCCCAACAGGCCCGTCAAGGTACCAAAACCCACTTAAATCCAACAGCCATGAATTGGTAACGGTGGTTGCACCGAAGAAAAATTGGTGGCGTCCGGTTGTCTTGTTGCCCACTCCTTCCTTTCTTCCAACAATCCCCCAATTTCAATTCCTCCTACTCTGTCAAGAAAAGGACATCTCAAAATTCTCTCCTACAATTTACAACACTGATACACCGCACGGAATGTTTTAGCATCAATAAAATGCTTGTAAAAACTTATTTCTCTATTCCAATAACATAAGTAACACGATACGACACTGTAAGAGTGTATCTGTGTCTACATAAATCATTCTCTTCTAAAAGGGCCAATGTTCCACCACTCGTCATCCCACTCTACCCATGACGTGGCAAGATCCCATTAGTCAAAGCTTCCGGAAAGTATTGAAATTTACAAACTTGACCTCTGGCTTTTATCTTGTGTGTTGCCCCGATTCTTCAACACCACAGGTGGCCCAGCTTCAACAACGTGTAAGTCTTAGTCCTCATCATCCCTGCTCAAAATATCAAAATACAGGGGTGGGTGTAATCTGTGGGAATTGGGAATAAAAGGGTACCTGTATTTTTGTGTGGTGTACCAATAAAAACACCCTGTCTTTGCTTTTCGTTGCCAATCCAACACCCCAAGAGGGAAGAGAAACCTCATTTCCATTTGGTCGCGGTTAGGGTATGGCTTACTCTATTAAGATTTTGGGTTAGGGTTTGTTAATTTGATACTGTTCTATTGAGTTTCTATCATTTCCTCCGATTCCGAATACCCGCCAATCAATTCCCGCCATGGACGGAGGAGGAGGAGAAGTTGGTGAGTTGCAGGACTGGGAGGTGCTAAACAGCTCGGACCCTACCCTGGTTAACTCAGACGACTCGATTGATAGCCCTAGGAGCTTCGAGGGAATCGATGTTCAAGCCGAAGGTATGATCAGGCCTGATTACTTCTCCCTGGATAATCAAGGGAGGTTCGGGTATGGTAAGGCGGTGATTGATGCCGGCGAAGAGGGTTCGGTTGAGTCCGACAACCCCAGTTGGATTGACCCGGGTTCCATGACTCAATATGGTGGAAAAGAATCGGGTGGGTTTTGGTCCGATTCGGCAAGTGATCGGTCCGATGACCGAAAAAGTCATGATTTTGAGGGGAAAAAAGAATTGGGTTTTGTGGAAAGTGAGAAAGGCCATGTGGGTTGTGGAGGGGCTGGAGAAAGGGGAGCTGTGGATGAGAAAGTTAGTGGGTTGGATGCTCAGGGCCGAGTGAGCTTTGAAGCAATTGGGGAAAACGGAAGTCTTGATAAGGATTTGGGAAAGTTCTGGTCTGATTCAGGCGGCGACAGTCTGGTTTCTGTGAAATTTGAGAAGGTTGCGAAGGAAAGCGAGATAGGTTTTAGTGGCTTGGAAAGTGGAAATAACTTGGACAATGAGCCAGAAGGACAATCGGTTGAGAGTCAAAGTAGTGCAGTTGAAGATGAGAAATCAGAGCCGAAATCCGGTGAAGAGGTAGGGAAGAGGACAATCCTGTGGTGGAAGGTCCCATTTGAGGTCTTGAAGTATTGTGTTTTCAGGGTAAGCCCTGTTTGGTCCTTGTCTGTGGCTGCAGCGGTAATGGGTTTAGTGCTCTTGGGGCGGAGATTGCACAAGATGAAGCGAAAGAGCCAGAGCTTGCAGCTCAAGGTTACTCTGGATGATAAGGTTAGTTATTGCAATTTATTATCGATTAATTTAGTGATCATGGTTTTTCAATTCATGTTATTGCAATTTGTTAAGTATGCCTGCATTGAGATTACTATGTGGTCTGTACTTTATGGCTGTCAATCAAAAGTTTTAAACCATCTTTTTGCATCTGTTTTCATGCACCAGTGTTTGCTATTTATTTGGAAAGTTAAAAGTTGAAATACGAAGCTTTCTTTAAACCAATTATATCAAACTCTTTGTATTCCTAGGTCCTCTTGTAGCAAAACAATGACTCGTTAAAAGGAATCTACCCAAGTGCGATAGGAATCATTCTGATATGTCTTTGTTTTTTGTCATTTAGCGACTTGTGTAAGCAAAAAGTTTTAATGCTACCATTTCATATCTTTCTTTTCTGTTTTCCAATCTTGACTACTTGTCTTAAACATAAATAATCATTTGGGAGTACTTTTTGCACACTGTGTTTTGTTTTTTCTCGACATTTTCTGGTGCAAAGGAATGTAAAAATCCCGTTTTATTCACCTTCCTCCATTATTTGATAGATGATGTTATTATGTTAACTTACTGGTATCACCTTTTTCTCTCGTTTCTTTGGATGAGAAACGGTGGATATTTGATCACTATAAAAGTTAAATATCAAAGTTTAAATAGAGGTGAATTAGTAGTCAAACTTATACAAACAAACAACATTTTGATAGCAAACATTTTGGGAAGCTGAGAACTATACACAATGGTGATTCCCCAATCTCTCTGTCATTGAAAACTAATTCTCTTATCCTTTCCTCATAACAAAACATAGATCCGAAGAAGAGAAACTAATACCCTGCAAGGTGACTATCCTACGACCTATGCTGATGCTACTACACTGGTTTTAGTCCACCAATTTGCTTCAGCCTCTATCTACTACTTTTTTCCTCAATGCAACTTAATGCTCATGTATCTGCATTTTTTTTTTGGTTTGCCGCTGCTTTGAAGTGGAAAGAAACTTTAGGCTCAGAGATCACTCAATCTAATAGTTTTTAAAAATTTATAGACCGAGAGAACTGATAGCTTTAAAAGAACTTGTGAAAGCTTGCAATATAGGCCAGTTAGAAAGTTATGCATGGAAACACAAAACTAGAAACAAAATGGACCTTAATGAAGTCTATCAGTTTATTTTATACTTTCAATTTATCAAAAAGGTGAAGGGTTACCTTTTAATGGTTATTTCAACATATTCAAGAGATCATGAATCCAAAGATAGTTGCTATAGAATAAATCATCATGGACACTTGAGGTATTCTAAACCCTTTTTTTTTCTCGCGACAAGGGGCTTATTTGTGAATCTTTGACCTTGATTACTTATTCTTCAAAGTATTTTGTCTTGGGCAATGAGCTCTAGCTCAAGCGGGTCTGGTTGTAAGAAATATTATTCTTTTGTGTTTTGAGATATATGTTGAGGTGGCCAACCTGGGATATCTAACTGAGGGATATTTACAGAAGGTGTCTCAGTTCATGAGCCGTGCTGTGCGTCTCAATGAAGCATTTTCAGTGGTGAAGCGAGTTCCTATAATGCGACCTTCGCTGCCAGCAGCTGGAATAAATCCATGGCCTGTAATGGGTTTGAGATAGAAAAATTCTTGTTGTGAAGTATGTAGAAAAAGAAAGTACTTTGTCCATGACCGTGCTAAAAGTACTGCGTTGTTGTGCCTTGGTTTGTATCAAAACGATTGTGGCTGTTATGTATTTACTCTAAAGAATTATTTGTAAAATGCAGACAAAGATTTCCACTAGGTATCAATCGTTACTTTTCGTTTCCCTGTTGTGTAGCATGCTTTATCGTTTTATCTGAATTCTCGGCGTGCTTTTCATGCCCGGAACTTGGAAAATGCAGAATGTATACACCCATCCTTCTCTCAAGTGTTGTTTTGGGAACTTGTTAGCAAGTTAATACAGCATTAATCACTCGTTTGAGCCATCTGTACAAATGAATCTTATGTTTACTGAAACCGTTTAATCATTTATTATTATTGTGACATTTATTGCTAGGAAATCCAAAACTGAAAGCATCCGAAAAGATGTTATGCACCATGGAAGGAGGAAAGAGCTACAATTACAATCTTAAATTGCTTTTTACATTATGGAACATGCAAAAGGATTTTCATCGCTAAATGTTTGACAAGGGTAATTGTGTTGAGCTGAATATTGAGGTGGATATTGGAACACACATTCTCCTCCTCCTCCTCCTCGGCTTCTGTAATTGTTGTTACCGCTGTCCTTGCCTTGCTCTTTCTTCTCATCTTGTTCTTGCTTCACTATCTCAGCATGCTTCCCTAATTCCTTCTTTAAGTAGTTTACCAGCTTTGCTGCTTCAACTATTCCCCTCACTCTCACCGTCGACCTCTCCATGTTCGCTTCCACACTTAGAACACCTAAAATATGCCAAAGAAAACGGAGCGGGTTAATTGACCCCTAAACTCGTTTTTCCATGTGTTTCATTCTCGTCCATTACTAAGATCTTGTTTTCTATATACAACAAGAGAAATGAAAATTCTTGTTCCGAATTAAGAACATGTTGTATAGAAGAATTATCTATTTAGATTAAACGGCTAAACGAACGATTTCAAATTTTGATGATATAACGCGAATTAGCAATTGCACATCCTCCGCAATAGGGATTTACCTTTCATTTTCTCCAAGTATTTCTTAATATCAATTGCACATCCTTCGCAATGCATCAACGTTTTGAGCACCACAACTTTAACCTCAGGCGTAGCCTACATTTCCGAAACCGAAAACAAGTAAGATAACGGTTGACAAGAGCAAATGAATATGTCGATGTAAAAAAAACCGAATGCTCCTCTCCATAATTTAAATTAGATTAATTAGAATATCGCTCAAATGAAAAAAATACCGCTTCTTTCTTTTTGGGCTCTTTTGGCCCTTGGTTTTGTGGTTTTGGTATTGGAGATATGAGTTGAGCATTCCTACTAAACTTGTTTTGTAGTCTCTCCAAAACCTTCAGAGGGTCGGCGTTCTTCCCCTTTACTGTCACTTTATGATTTGGGTAATCAACCACAACTTCCTCAACGCCTAACCAGTCAAGAGAAAATTTGCAAATATTATTTCTGCAAGTTCATCATATGTAGTATGGGGAAGATGCACAATAAAAAAAAACTGAGATATTTGTGCAAGAAGTTTTACCTTCAAAACTCGTCAAACATTTGGAAACCTGACTTTGGCATCCTTCACAATGCATTAATACTTTCAACACAATTTCTTTTCTCTCTGCCATGTTGAAGTTAGGTTGTCAGAAATCTCCCTTTGGATACAAGCGATGCCGGAAAGGAGGAATGGAACTCGGGACTTCGTACGCAGGAGAGAAATGATCTTAACCAACTCAAGTACAAGCCGCTTGTGGATTATCAGTAATTCTCTATGTTCGTAGGATAGTGGTGAAGTGATATATAAATAAGTGATTATTTGACTTGTGGTTTACCATGTTACCAAACATAGATTATTTATATTTGGATTATCTCTCAATTGGATTAATGAAAATATTCTCTACTGTTTCTATTCTGGAACCTTTATTTGGCTTCCAAATATTTTCCTGCCTTACAATTCATTTCTATTTCAGTTTTCATGTAATAAGAATAGGACATTGAATGCCCATTATGAATATTCTTTTCAAAGAAAAAAATGATAACCTTTTTTATGTGGTTAATAATCTTCTGCTTAATTTCTTTAGGAGCAATACCGTTATGATATATTAATGGTATACAATCTGGAGGAATTTATAACAATTTTCCGACGTCCCACGTGACAGTGCAGAGTGGTAGAACATTTCAGTCGACGTTTAAAACGTAAACTCTGGTCATCAAATTATTAGGCACAACTGCTGCAGCCTTAGCAAATGCATCTGCTCTGCATATGTAAAAAGAGAGCAGATAATTTATTTGGTACTACTGTTTTGTACACATACATCAAAACATCATACATCCAAGAACTCAAGATAATCTGCTTATGCTTTCCTTTATTGGCTACCAAATGTCGACAATAACGATTGTCTGTACCCAAGGGTTTCACCTATCAAAAATGATATCCAAGATTTTCGGCTTCGTGGATATACTTGCAGTTACTTGCATGCATATGAGCTCAACGAAAGCTATGAACAATCCTCGATTACTTTTCAAGGTTTTGAATACATGGATATCCTTACAGTTCTTGGTTATATGAGATGCCTTTATCCACCACTTATTGGAGGTATTATGGCCAACTCATCCTTGTCTTTAACGACCGCAGAATCAGCTGTGTACGCCTCATTAAGAGCAAGCACCATGCACCCGCGGATCTCTGTCAAGCTTGGAAACATGGTGATGAGCTTATCTAAACAATCAAGTGCAGTACTACCAGACGACACCTCCAGTTGCGTATCACTCAAGCCAGTTAGATCACGAGCCCTCGCAAAGAACAGCACCTTTATCTTAACAGATGAACCCTCGATCCCCTTACTTGTAGAGTCTGTGGCTGCCGTCTTCATCTCTTCTTGTTTGGAATCCATTGCAGAACACCCTGCCCCGTGAATTAGTTGTTGTGAAACATTTTGGCTGCAACAATAACATCTTCAGTTTTAAGACACCAATAACATAATAAAATTGATAGAGCAATGGTATGGAAATCAGCAAAAAAAACCAACTTCTATCATGCTTATCAGAAAAAAAAAAACCACCACCATTTTATGACTGCCAAGGATACCTGGTAAATAACTAATGCAATTAAACAATTCCAATATCAGTCATACAATCATATAGATTTGACCTCACAAAGTCTAGCATGACTACAATTCTCACAATCATCTTCTCGTTGGTCAGACAACTACTCCACAACTGTTTCTTTGAGATCTGGAATAAGCAAATTTTACCCCCAGAATATGAGAACATATATCTTTGAACTATTAGACTTACAATTCAAGATGACTAAATCCTCGCCATTGCCACAACGGCAATAACAGCTCTTTCTAATACCACTTCTAGTGACATTAGCAAATCGTTCTCTAAGAGTAATCCACATTTCCTGAGAATTATGACAACCGATGATGCATGAAAATGAGGAAAGAGGTAAAGTAGCAGTGATCAGAAATCACAGCAGCATTCTCAATAATACTATCATCGCATACAACTTGAGAAAATTTATCAGGACGGGGAATAGATCCATCAATAAACCCCATTATTCCATTTCCCTCCAACAAAAGGTCAATTTGGAAATTCCAAGTGACATAATTTGAGTCATCCCAATTCACAGTAACAGTATTACCCACAATTGCAATTAAAAATGAAACTGGAGACTGAGTAAGGGCTAACTGATTAGCAGTAACCATTGAAGCAGATAGCTTCAGTTGTAAGAAAGCTATAGAAACAGAGCATCAAAACCACTGAATCAACAACGAGATGACAAGCCACACAGATATGATAGAATCCATGATAGAAATTAACAATCTCAGTTGGTTTATAATTCGAAAAACTGATGGTAACTGTCACAGTAATGGGATGAGGCAGTTACCAAAAATCAATGGTGTGGATTGGTCCCTCTTCTCAGTATATAATCTTCGTGTTCATTAAGAAGGATAAGCCCCACTGTGTATTCCGAACACATAAGCACTGAGTATAAGAGAAGAGAAGAGACTCCACCATAACAAGAAGTATGGCTGCAAATTATGGTCAGTACATCTACTTGTTTTTAGGGTTTATACAGATTGCTGCACTTAATGCAGCAACTCGTTAGGGTGCATGCATGCATTATAAACTTGGCGTTCATGTAGTTTAGCAATTTGGTTGATCGGATCCTTTTGAATAAAGTCTACAAGGCCATCCGTGTTTTCCTAGCATTTTAAAACCAATAGTTCTCACATGTGAGCACAATGATGCCAGTATGGCAGGCATCATCCCGCAAACCAAGCAAAACCAATATCAAACATAAAAAATAAAAGAAAAAAGAAAGAAAGCTATTGTATGTCGACAATTATCATGAAAGCTCTACAAAAAATTGCAGTAACCTTATTCAACTTAGAGAGAGAGAGAGTAATAGAAGAGGAGCATCACATTGTCAATTTTCACCTAGAAAACAAATTCATGAAAAAAACTAACAAACAAACAATTAGAAACCTCACTTTAACTTAATCTTGCACGCAACAAAATTGATACAAACTCAAACCTCAAATTGGTTTTCTCTCAAGTCAGGTTTTAAATCATACCACCTCGGAACACTATAAGATTCCAAGACATAACGATGATCGAAAGCGCACATGTTGAAGATCAAACATATACAGGTGACTCTAGATATCATTTGATTATCCCATTCCCAACCCTGAACCAAAAATTACGCAACACTTAAATTTTGAATTAAAAAAAATGAAAACTGAATCACTATAAGTTCTGATGTGAACTATAAGCTATTACAAATATTCAGGGGCATGAATATTAAGTCAAATCCTTCTTAATCAATTACGATTCATACAAGTTACAAGTATGAAGTCAACTGCCAAATTACCAAGGTGAGAAGGGGGAAAGCTTTGGTTTTGGAAGATGAAATAAACACAAAAGGAAGTTGAAAACTGAAAACCCCACCAAGAAACGAACTTGAAAATGAATTGAAAGGAGGTGGCACAGCAGCAAACAAGCATTGTGTTTTTTAAGGAAAAACAGGGTTCTGGGGATGCCCAGAAGATGAAGAAAGTAAAAGTTAAACCCATCTAATAGTTGCCGGAAATTGATGGGAACAAGTACAAGCTTTACCTTCACCAACCGTTCCGAAGCTCAGAGATTGCAGAGAATAACAAGCGCGAGCGCTGACCAAATAAAAACAAACAAACAAACAAGAATATCACTTCGACACTTCCGTGTTGGGGTTGGGCTTTTGGGCTTTTACAACTTTGCTTTCTTGTTTTGGGTATGTATTTGTTTTAGGTTTATTTTCTGTTATGCTCTGTCAAATTTTTATACCTTTTTACAGAGCTCACTTCTTAATGTTTTTTAATAATTCGAATCGTTTATCTTTCAAGTTTATCTTTAAAGATGATGTCTATCAAATACCCAAATTTGAAACTATACGATTGTTAGTGTAGGATTTTTTATTTTTTTTTATTTTTTATATAGAACCGTACTTTTCACTACAAATGAATGTCATAATTGTTTTAGATTTATATTTTTTTACAAGAATGATCTGTGAATAATGTTCTAAATGATAAACAGTTCGGATTGTTAAAGTATAATACGAAATGGGCTCACAAAAATGTGTATCAAAATTTTTGAGAAAAGTAGAATTTTTTTTTTAAAAAAAAAAAGGTGCTCCGGATCTGTTCCCCAAATGTGTGTATACACACTCCCCTTAGTTGAGGGATTCTTTGTAAGGCGCACTCCACATTGTATTTCAACGATCCAATGATCAACATTTTAGATCTTATATAAAAGATCATCTTTACCAAAAACATCTAAATCCCAAACCATTTAATTGTTGGATTAAATGATAGTCATAATATTGTTTCTTTGGAAAAAGGTATTTATCTTTTTACTTCACTGTAATTGGATATCTTAATAATTTTGAATTTATTTAATTTTTTACAATTTAATGATTTACGAATAATATACTAAAATATAGACGGACCTTTACGAAAAAAGTTAAGGAATGAGCATCCTAAGGTCTCTCAAATAAGCTTATTTGAGGGATTAAGGGGACCGTTATGTATATCCGTTGGTAATATTTGTGATTACCCCTAATAAGCATTAGCTAATGGCAGATTAATCCTCCCTTTAGAATAAAACCTTGCTTAATAGTTAATACTTTTCCCTTTTGCGTCACTTTCAACACTACTACGAGAACACTCTACAAATCGCTCATGGAATGCGCCGACCTCTATTAACTCCCCCATTCCTTTCGTCGTTCTCATCTCTCTCGACATTGCAGCTGCGTTTCCCAGAAAACATTGAGGATTCAATTGGTTCACAGCCATCTGCTTCGTCCACAGATCTTCTTCGCCGCACAGCATCTGCCTCCGTCTCACTCTCACTCAGGTATTTCACTGATTTGGGGTTTTATGCAATTACAAATTTAAGTCCATTCATGTGTTGATCTGGGTTTATTTCTGTTACTCTCTATCTGACTTGAAAATAAAAACCCTAATTTTAGATTGTTCTCTGAGTCCAGATTGATTTCATTCACAATTCTTAACAAATTTCTCCAATATTACGTTTTCCCTTGTTATTTTCATACATTTTATAGATGTAATCAGTCTTTTTTGACCTTTATCATTCCCTATACAATTGTGAATAAGTAAGTTCCATGTCTGCAAAACTCTAATTACTCTGATTCAATTATCTTTCTGGAACCTAATCCCTCAACTTATTAAATTCGTTAGAGAGGTGATTTTGGATTGAATCCCAAAGTTTCCTTCCCATTTCTAGGGTTGGTGTTTTGTGCACATTTTGGGTGGTGGGTGTTGTGAATCATCACATTTTATTGAAGGTATTTGATCTGGGTAATTCTAAACTTATGAACTGTTTTCTGAGTTTCCAAAACAGTTATGCAGTTTTGAGGAAGCCCCTTGATTTATGAACTTTGAAGGAGCTGTCTACATGCCATGTTTGGTAGTGCAAAAGTGGTCTTGATTCTTCTGCAGCTTACTACATTTGTGGAAGTTGTGGTTTCGGGATAGTATAGGTTGAGTTTAAAACATCCTTGAGAAATAAGGGTTGGCACAGATGGGTAGGCCATTGGTTTTTGAGATCTTGGACAAACCAGCCACAAGTTGTTTCATAGGAATATGCAGTGCGATTTGGTTCTACATACAGAAGAAAAACATTGGCTATTCACATGTGGGCTTGAGTTATGAAACTGCGGTTGCAGGGCATCATTGGAGGATTATAACTTCAGCTTTCTCTCATATAAGCATTATTCATCTTGTTTTCAATATGAGTGCCCTTTGGAGTCTTGGGGTAGTAGAAAAGCTGGGTCCCATAGGGCTCGGGGTGGAATATTATCTGCAGTACACGCTTGTGTTGGTTGTGCTATCCGGAGTGCTAGTCTTGGGAATCTACCATTTGTTAATCCAAAAATTCAAGATTGAATATTTTCGGAGAGTGACGGCTGTTGGGTATTCATGTGTTGTTTTTGGGTGGATGACAATTCTTTCGGTGAAGCAACCCACGTCAAAGTTGCATCTTTTTGGATTTCTCTCACTTCCCATTAGTTTTGCACCATTTGAGTCACTCATTTTTACCTCAATCATCGTTCCTCAAGCAAGTTTTATTGGCCATTTATCTGGAATCATTGTTGGGTATGCTATTGCTTGGGGTTTAATTCACGGGATGAACAATTACTGGGCGGTTTCCATGTTGGGATGGATTGTGCTTGTTACTGTGTTCAGTTTGAAGCGATCCAGTGCATATGATTTCAGTTTTCTTGAGATTGAACCTGTTACTGATTCTTCGTTGCCAGCCGTACGATTTATTGCATCAGGAAATGGTAGGGCATTGCAAATGAACGCATTACCAGCTTCGGGCGTTGAGCTTGTGTGATATATTTGTAAATGCAAGCTTGACTTAAAGTCCAGTTACTTCAGAATTAAATCCACCAAGCCCTAGTCGTACTTGAAACTGCTAATTCTCAGAACTTGCCGAATATTTCACCTCTACATGCTGCAGTGATACAAATTCTCCGGTGCTACGGGTTTGACGCTAAAGAGTGACAGATTGTTGCTTACTCTGAATATGTGATGGTAAATGTTCATAGTTGTGTGAAGCAATTTTTTTATTATCATTTATTGGATCTCTTGACAATGTTAAGTTGAGCAGACAATGTATAATTCTACTACTTTTTTTCCCATAGAAACTGATCGGAAACGAATTGTGTAATCGTATTGACAGTGGAGTTGCAGCATTTTCATTGTATGATACAAGCATTAAGGAAAATAATTCAGAACAGATGGTAGGCGAGGTTCCATATCTTGTGGAAATGTTACATATTTCGATATCCTTTCTTTGGTTCGAGCTACTCCTTGTATGCTCAACCAGTGCTTTGTTGTAAAGCACCTGTGTAATTGCTCGAGACCTTTCCAAATCCTCTCGAGCAGTGCACCAGACCTTTCAAGGATCCTCAAGCAATGTTTAAACACAAGAAATCCAACGGTTTCGGAATCCAAATTTTTCACGCCCAAAGTGCAAGAAACATTTTAAATGAGGAAACAAGCGTTGCAAATGTTAAAAAGTGCAATCATCGGGGGATAATTCTCAATAGTACATAAAATCCAATGAAGTGGAATCTTGATAGGTACTGGGTACCGCTATAGCTTTTACACAGGGCGACGCTATTCTTTACAAACTCGTTTAAATGTCAAATTAACAAAAGAATTGTATCTACATAAATTAAAATGTTGATAATGTGAATATCTTGCCAACTGGAATTAGGACTCGGTGCCTACACCAAGGCTTCCTACTCCATAGCGCCGGATAATCAGAGACAAGCAGATGACACGAGTGAAGCAGTCCATGTTGAGAAGTTTGATCTGTGATGCTTCCAACAAATTCGAATCACTTTGATTTGTCGCCATCACATTTCACTTGACTATCTGCAAGTATAACCATGTCCACAGAGTGTTGTAGGTCAATATGATTGTGTAATATCGTACATTAAAATAGATGCAACCAAAGTGCGAAATAAAAATAAGTGTACTTGATCAAAAAGATCCACAAAATGTTACCATGGCTGTGTTTTGTTGGACATGTAAACATCAAAATCTTTAGCCTGGTCCTGAACAGTTGAATATAACAACATAAACAAAACATTACACCCAAAAAAGGAAAAATAAAGGTTGTCTATATTTTTGTGCAACTTTAAAAGGAGTATCTATTCAGAAGCTTAAATCCGAGTTCAAACAGCATTCATGGATACATTGTCCATTCTGTCAAGAGTATCATTTGACCACAAGCAAATAAATGATGTCATAGGATTTCTTCTCTTGCATAATGCCATCAGAAATTAGATCCTAATTACTAGCAACATTGGTTCAGACATCGACAACAAAATAGTTTATTGTTTGTTCACGATAAAGGAGCATATGGGACAAAAGGTGAGGACAGTGCACTGGACAGGCCTCAGTATGATTACACATTCCAACCAGCAGAACTTCCTAATGATAGGACCAAGAAACAGGGAAAACAACAGAGGGACAAAGGAAAAGAAAAAAAAAGAAAAGAAAAAAAAGCAATTTAAGTTGCATGCACGAAAAAAGATTATAAATTTCTCTGAATTCGTACGGAAGTTTCTTGAGGAACCATTCTGATTACGTTTCCTCCACAACAGAAACTCCACATTACGCAAAAAATGGGGGGTGGGTAAGCTCAAATGTGACCACTGGTCAGAAGAACTTACCATTTTTTAAGCTGTTTTCATTATCTCCAATCCCATTAACATGTGCTGACCCCGAGCTAGACCCATTTTCATGGTCACCTGGATGAAGAATGTGGGAAAATCCTTGTCCAATTGACTTCCATAACCGTATAGGCAGATTAGACTGCAAACTGCCAGTACTCCTACCAAGATATGGTTCAGTTGGCCTTGCCACCGCAGGGTCTAGTTCAGAGAATCTTACAGCACCTAAAAGTTGTTCTGGAAGCTCTGATTCAGTTTGGCTCTCGATGAGAAATGCAAGGTCAACAGTCAGAGTTGTGATATAACCAAATGCCAGATGAACTATTGCACTTGCAACCATGGAAGACCCAATATCCACGTCTACTTCTAAGAAACTATCTGATGCACAGTAATAACAAGAAAGGGCACGCCCAATTATGCATATGGCCTGCTCCCCAACTGCTTTCCTCACGATCCAAGGGCCCTTGACAATGTTGGCAATCAATTTAAGCCTTGAATTCCTAAACCCATCATCACCCTTCAAGAACTGGTCCATCAAAGACCCCTCAGGAATAGGCTCTCTGGTTGTAAAATACGCCACAGCACTGTAATTATCCTTATTCGGAACTTGAAGATTGAAAGCCCAAACGAAAGGCTTATCACCAGTCGGGAACTCCTCCTCAATAGCCTTCTTGACACGACTGTTTGGATGTTTTAAGACCTCCCCAATCTTTGTCGAACTTCTAATCCAATCGAAACCAAGAGGCTTTAGAAGATATTCACCAGCAGGAACTTTAACTTTGGTTGACAAGTAGTCAGGACCTCTAACTAAGAACTTGTCCCCAGGTGGAGAAGCCCAACCATTTCGACAATTGTCTGGATCAAGAAGTGGAACAGCTCCTTCTGATCTCACTCTCTCTATCCATTCAAGCTCCTTCTTTTCACCAGTGCTGTCCATAAGAGATTTTCCTTCGGCAGCAAACCTATCACATAATAAGAGAAAACAAGATAAATACAAAAAGAGTATAACTGTTTTCCTGAATTACGTTTGATTTGTGTCATAGAGACACAATCCATAAATATGGCCATACAAACCTGACAATCGTAAATTCTACAAATACTTTATACTATATACCATAACCAAGGAAAATGCCCCTAAAAATCAGAATAAAGAGGTAGTTTGTACTTCTGTAACTATGCTGAAACAACAGCCTCTTTCTGATAGAAACCAAAATTAGAAATAATCACATAACTATTCTTCACACCCTTCCAATACAAAAGGACTTCAGAAATCGGACAGCCGGATGCTATTGCCGCATATAACATGTTCACCGTTACCGTTCAACATATTTTTCTCCAAAGAAAATATATTCCGTGCACTCTCTTCCCTGGGATGCTAAGTTCCTTGCCTTGTTCTGCCTTACAACAGAAAGAAAAATCCAGAACAATCGTCTAATATCTCAATAGTTTTTTTTTCTTGGATTTCTTCCCCAATTATTTAACATTTAAACAAAGTAATTAAAAAATCCCACACAAATGAATCCAATTTCCAGCTGAACTTATAAGATTCACAGCTAAACATAACCAAAACAATGAAAAATATAAATCAATCAGCCAAAATTGCGATCATATTGAACCAAATTGAAGCAAAAAGATAAGTAATTTACAACTTGGAATCAAATAACATAAAGGCGTGATCACAGGCTCAGAGATAAGGAAGAAAAACCCTAACCTTGAGCTTTGGGGTAGAAATTGCGGCAATCAAGCGTGGTAGCTTTGCAAACCCTAATTATACAGATTGACAAATGGGAAACGGAAATTAGGGTTTTGCAGTCTGATTATTTGGGGAGGGAGGGAGGCCTGGTTCCTTGTGTTACTTTTGTCTTTAACAACAAAGGAGAGGAGGTGAAATTGCTAACACCATCTGCAGACGAGCTTTGTTATGTTCAAACGAGCGCCTTGTTATGTTCAAACGAGCTTTGTTATGTTTGACAGCTTGCCTTTTTTTCTTTTTCTTTTTTGGTGAATACCTTTTTTTGGGTAAATTATGCTTTTCTATTTTCCATGGTTTGAAATTTTTTATTTTTGAAGAGATCATTTGATTATTATTTTTTTATCAACATTTGATTAGAATTAAGTATTTTTGGCAATAGTATTGGATGTACCAAATTATCAATTTACGTGTAGAAGTTGTCTTAAAACGCATCATATGTTGTATGTATTAGCTCGTTTTTATGTATATATTCCCGATTTTAAGAACATGAAGATGAATTGGAGTAATAATTGCAAGGAAACAAAAGATAAATGCCCCAAGTCTTGTAAAAATCTTGAAGTGGTGAAAATACTTTTAAAAACAACCCAATAAAAATACAAATAATACGGTTTGACTAATGTTTAACGAATCAACGTATGTGATATATTCATACCAAAACATAAGTATAAGTTACCATTATACACTGATGCAATTTAATATTTGAATGAGAACCAAAGTTGTTCAAGTCAATATGACCTTTAAATTTTTTTTTATTCGATCAGGTCCATCTCATCGATTTAAGTATACAGTCTACCTTAAATCAAAATACTAAACAAACAAATTTACGTAACATGAGTATAATGTTGTGGTAACGTGTTGTGCCAAACTACAAACGTTATATGGACAGAAATTAGTAAATTACTGACAAAGTCTCGTAACGTCTAGTATCAAGCCACAAGCGCAAAAATCTAAGGACATATTTATATTATTGACAAACAGCCAGTCTATTCTTCCTTCCTTTTCCGTTTCTTTACTGACAATTTCTCTCAGACAACCGAGTCATACCAAACGCGCCAAACAAAAAGTAGTGAGAATCAGAGCAAGCTAATGTATGAAAGGAGAAGCACGCTTTTTGTTTTGGCAGATGGAACAACGCATACACAAAACGAATGAATGAAAAATGATGGGATATGTTGATGAATCCAGACACTTTTCTTTCAACCCTAATTTTTTCTCTGAGGTCCTGCACTTGCGTCTCCTTTTGCCGCGCAATTCAGGCCTGCGTGGTCAAATCGTTGGATTATAGAGATGGGTTCATTGGCGATCAGCTGGTTTCTTGTTATTCAAGTTTGGGCCGTGCAGATGATGCACGGAACCTGTTCGATGAATTGCCCCATAAGGACTTGGTCTCCTGGAATTCTTTGATTTCTGGGTTTTCGCGAAGAGGGTATGTGGATAAATGCTTGAATGCATTTTTTAGGATGAAGTTTGAAATGGGAATACAACCCAATGAGGTTACACTTATGTCTATAATCTCCGCCTGTGCTAGTAGGGGAGCTGTTGTTGAAGGAATGTACATTCACGGCTCTGCATTCAAGTTGGGTGTGCTGTGGGAAGTTAAGCTTGTCAATTCTTTGATTAATTTCTATGGAAAGTCAGGCTCTTTGGATGAAGTTTTTCAACTGGTTGAGACAATGCCGATAGCAAATGTTGTATCATGGAATTTAATGATTGCGATTCACACTGAAAATGGGAGTGCAGCAGATGGAGTGGCTTATTTTAATCTCATGAGAAGGTCTGGAATTGATCCGGATGATGGCACTGCGGTGTCCTTGCTTCAAGCTTGTGAGAATTTAGGTTTGCGGAAACTCTCAGAGTGCATCCATGGTATGATAATGAAATGTGGTCTCAATGAAAATGTCACAATTGCAACCGGACTGCTGGATTTGTATGCAAAGTTGGGGAGACTTAATTACTCACTTAAGATTTTCGGGGAAATAAATATTCCGGACAAAGTAGCTTGGACTGCTATGCTTGCAGCCTATGCTGTGCATGGGTATGGGAGAGAAGCAATGAAGCTCTTTGAAAACATGCTTAAAGAAGGTGTGGAGCCTGATCACGTCACCTTCACACATTTGCTAAGTGCTTGTAGCCACTCGGGACTTGTCGAGGAGGGGAAGAATTACTTCAACATTATGCCTCAAGTTTATGGAATTGAGCCTAGGTTGGATCACTATTCATGCATGGTTGATCTTCTGGGACGCTCTGGGCTTCTAAATGATGCTTACAAGCTGATTAGACGTATGCCAATGGAGCCAAACTCTGGCGTATGGGGGGCTCTTTTTGGTGCTTGTAGGGTTTATGGTAACACTCAACTTGGGAAGGAAGTTGCTGAGAGATTATTTTCTTTGGACCCATCAGATTCCAGAAACTATATCATGCTATCCAATATGTACTCTGCAGCTGGTTTGTGGAGGGATGCTTCAAAGGTGAGGGCTTTGATGAAGGACAAAGGTCTCGTTAGAAACCCTGGATGCAGTTTTATCGAACACGGAAATAAAATCCATCGCTTTGTCGTGGGTGATCAATCTCACCCTGACTCAGATAAGATATATACCAAATTGGAAGAAGTGATTGGAAAGATCCGAGAAGCTGGATTTGTGTCTGAAACAGAATGTGTTCTACATGATGTTGAAGAGGCGGTGAAAGAGGATATGATCAGCAAGCACAGTGAGAAATTAGCCATTGCATTTGGGCTTTTGGTGACGAATGCTGACATGCCAATCATTATTACCAAGAACCTTAGAATCTGTGGAGACTGTCACAGCACTGCAAAACTCATATCGTTGATTGAGAAGCGGAGTATCATAATTCGAGATTCAAAGCGTTTCCACCATTTTGCGAATGGAATATGTTCGTGTGGAGATTATTGGTGATCAGGAACTTCTGCTTATGATGACTCTGCACACGGTGGTGGTTGTAATCTTTTCAGGTACGAGTCTCATGCTTTGGATATTTTATTGAGTAGCATTGTATGCATAATACATTTGTTGTGTTCAAGAATGTATCACTTCAATGGCACCAACTGTAACATGCTTATAATTGAAGAATTTTCTGAGACCAAGGTTGCATACGAAGAAAAAGAAAACATATTTGCAATTGATTATAAATAAATGAAACTGCAATCCTGCCTAGGAAGTAATTCTTTTAAGTAAATAACCACCTAATTAATTACAATTTGTGTTAACAATCCTGACTTCCAGAATTCACAATCAGAGTATGAAAAGGGAAATGCCATAGGAGCAAATTTTAAATATGCTATTACAGGCAAAAATGAAGAACTAAAAAGTAAAAGAAAAACTAGGATTCCCAAAATAGATTACATTTAAGCCATAAACGGGGTAATAACACAGCAAGTTTTGGACAGATATCGGAAAACAAAGGGATTTGGGGAGAATCACAATCTTTTCCAAGCCCAGAACCCCAACTCTATTTTGCAGCAATAACGGATGTCGGAGATGTGCTTGACCTTAGACCGATCCAAGCTTCCTTCTCCATGTATTCGCTCTATGAGCTCACTGGGAACATCTATAAAATTCAATTCTTGGAGACATGTAAGGTGTTCGATTCCATCAGGCAGTTGTTTTAACTCCATGCACTCACCAATTCGCAGTGTCCGTAATGATGGCATCACCCCATTCTCTATGATGATGGTATTCAATTCAGGGAAATTGCCTACACTTAATTCAGTAAGCTTTTGGAATCCGGTTTGAAAGATTAATTGATTCCCGACATGTGCATTGTGTAGCACAAGTTTGTTCAGATTCGGTAGTGTTTGGATGTAAGGAAGGAAATCCTCTTTTAATCTGGACCAATGCAAACTCAAGTGCATAACGCTGTCAAGGGAATGAAACCAAAGCGGAACTTTTTCTAGCTTTCCAGTTAGGATAAGTGTCTTGAGTAGAGGAGGAGGTGTTGCCAATGCATCCAAGCGTAATACTTCATCCTCATTACTTGTCTTGACACCTAAGAATTGAAGGAGTCTCATGCTTTCAATTGATTTGCACAAGTCATTCTCATCAACACCTCTTACATTTGATACACTAAGTCTAGTGAGTTGGGTCATGTGTCGAAGTTGTTTGATTAGCTCGCCTCCTGCCTCAATACCATCCAACACTTGCAAGCTTTCTAGCTTACTTATGTCGAACCTTGCTTGTGTGCTATCCAACCAATTAAAAGACTTGACATCATATGCCGGATAATGGTACATCACAAGATGTCGTAGGTTTTTTAACTTCACCATTCCAACTGGAAGTGACCTTATCATGGAGTTCTTAATGTTTAATGTTTCCAAATTATGGAGGTTTCCTATGTCTTTCGGAAGCTCTTTCACTTTTGTCGATTTCAGATTTAAATACCTCAAGTTAAAGCACTTCACTATATCGTCTGGGAGTTGAGCAAGCGGAAGATATTTTAGATCCAAGACTCTTAACAGTTTGAAACCGGACGGCAGTTTTTCTAGTGAAGAAGAATCGCTCATCGCGGGGGAAAAAATAAAGAAGGTACGAACCTTTGACATATCTCTGTGTGGTTGAAATTCTCCATTGCTTGCTCGCACTGATAACCGGTGTGAATCCTTACACCCTTCATTTGCTTCCTGACTGTGATACACTGCACAAAATTTCTCAGCTTCTGAAATTGAAAGGGCAAGTTCTCGCAAAAGGTCATGCACCTTGAATGCTTTTGCCCTTCCAGATGGTTCCCTCTGAACAACTTGCAGCATGCATCGACAAGTGAGCTCTGCAATGTAGCTTTCAGCAATCTCTTCAGGCGTAGCCCCTCGAACTTGTTCGACAAACCCCTCTGCCATCCACAGCCTTTTAAGCCTTTCACATTTAACCACATAATCTTCTGGAAAAATGCAAAAATATAAGAAGCAACGCTTGAGTCGATAAGGTAAACCGTTGAAGCTTAGCAGTAGGATGCTCCTTACTACTTCAAGTGTTGGATTGTTGCTTAGCTCCCAATTCAAGCTACTGCTGAATCTTGTCCATTCAGACTTTAATCTTTTGGTTGACATGAGAGCACCCAAAGCCACAATTCCAAGGGGTAAACCTTTGCACTTTCCAACAAGATCCCTAGCAATGTGTTCGAGCTCTTGGGGGCAGGACCTGTCTGGCCAGCTAGAGAAAGCTTTCGTGGAAAAAAGATCCCAAGCCTCTTTTTCAATGAGAGGATGAACATGGTACACATGGCTTCTGACCCCGAATGAAAATGAAGCAATGTCTTCGTTCCGAGTTGTAAGCACAACTCGACTTCCATGTGCTCCATCAGGAAGTGCTACGTTTATGTGGCTCCAGAGTTCTCTATCCCATACATCATCCAAGACAATCACGTACCTCTTCGGCTGCATATATTTTATAAGCATTTCCACCAAACCTCTGTAGCTCATATTGTTTATGTCAAGAGGAATAGCTTCCATTGCAGCTCTGAAAAGTTCCTTGATCATTATCTTTAGCAGATCTTCGATGTTGTAAGTTTGCGAGACTGTGATCCAAGCATGACAATCAAAGTGTTTCTTTACAGTTTGACTGTTGAAGGTGTTTGCCACTAAGGTGGTCTTGCCCGAACCTCCCATTCCAACCACCGAAATTACACTTCTTTCTGGCTGTTCAGACAACAACCATCCAACTAACTTGTCCTTAGCATCTTTGATTCCCACAAGTTCATCATCTTTAAAGAAAAGAGAGGACTCACCATAGATTCTGACTCGATTGGGATCGTAATTATGTGAAGCACCGATGCCTTGTATGCGATCAACGCCATAACATTGGTTTCTTTCTCGAATAGCTCTGATTTTTCTGATGATATTGTGCAATTTGGTGGCGATCCTATGCCTCTCCCAAAGATGCTTGGGGAAGCAAATCATTTGACGAAAGGCTCTTGTGTATGGACCCCAACTTCTGTGCCTGTTCATTTGATAGGTGAACTCGTCAATGATGTCTTCGATATCGATGGATACGTCCCTCACATTTTCCACCCATGTTTTCTCTACTTCACTGAGAGCTCCCTTCTTTCCAGCATCTGCCAGGAAAGCCTTCATGGTTAGCAGCTCACGCTTGATTTCATCGAGTTGGTCACGAACTCCTCCTATTAGTGACACTTCATTTTCGATAATCGATACTATCTTGCCCGTCAAAAACTCTAATGGAGGTGAAGCCATCTGCTGCCTTTTTGTTCTTGGTTTGCTCCTCTCTCCTCTCCTCTGGATTGAATTCAACAGCAATTTCAATCTTTGTACAGTGATAAAAATGCATTTCCTTGTCTCGTTTGCTATATATTTGATTCTTGTATTTATTAATAAATATCGCATAGGCCACTTTTATTGACCAACAAATTTCTTTCCTTTTTTTTTTTTTTTTGGTCAAAGTGAAACTTTTATTACTAACCAAAAACAAACACATACAACAAAAGCCCAAAGCAAATGGGTGAGCAAGCGGAGCATGTGCTGCAAACAATGCTAGCTGTAAAGATACCTTTTCTTGTGTGTGGTTGCTGCACGTCTTTCACTTGGGACTCCAATGTCCAAAACTGTACTCGCAGTTAATGCCAAACCACATCGAATTTGAATTTCTTGTTGCGTACATTAAGCCGTCAATTGCAACCGTCTTTTAGAAAAGGGGCTTCTAACTCAATTCTTAAAGAGTGTTTTACCCTCCATCCATCTGAGGTCCCACAATTGAACTCCCTCTCTTTCAGTGTCACTTTCATCTCTATATATAAAGCCAACAGCCCTTTATGGGATCACGGGCTTCATAAAAAAATTTTGGACAAAAATGTCTCGCAAACAAAAAAATTCAAAAACAGCCCAAAATAATGCAGGGGTATTTTCGTTATATAAATAGTATTTTTTAATAATTAATTCTTTTTGTACAGTTTTTTTTAGTACCTCACAATATGCTAGCAATAATGTGATTTAATCAATTGTTTATTAAATATTATTTTCTCTCTTTTAACACATTCAAAATATCTTAAGAGGCATGTAGTGTCAGTTATAAAAAAAGGTATTTCGCACGCGCATAATAATGTGATTCAATTAGTTGTCAAATAATTGTTTTTTTTTTAACAAACGATATTATCTACACTAAGGGGGAGAGGGTGGGCTTAGTCTCACAATGGGTTAACAATAATGTGATTCAATTAGTTGTAGGGGTATTTTCATCATATAAATAGTATTTTTTAATAATAATTCTTTTTGTACAGTTTTTTTTTAGTACCTCACAATAGACTAGCAATAATGCGATTCAATCAGTTGTTTATTAAATATTATTTTCTCTTTTTTAAACACGTTCAAAACATCTTAAGAGGCATGCAGTGCCGGTTATAAAAAAGATCTTCGCACACGCATAATAATGTGATTCAATTAGTTGTCAAATGACTGTTTTCTTTTTTTTTGAACAAACGCTATTATCTACACTAAGGGAGAGGGGATTGGCTTAGCCTTATAATGGGCTAGCAATAATGTGATTCAACTAATTGTTTATTAAATATTATTTTCTCCATTTTTAAACATGTTCAAAACATCTTAAGAGAAGCATTGTGCCCATTATAAAAAAGGTATTTCGCACGCGCATAATAATGTGATTCAATTAGTTATCAAATGATTGTTTTTTTTTCTTTTCGAACAAATGATATTATCCACACTAAAGGGAAGAGGGGTGGGTTTAACCTCACAATGGGTTAGTAATAATGTGATTCAATCAATTGTTTATTAAATATTATTTTCTCTATTTGTAAACACGTTCAAAACATCTTAAGAGACGCTTACTGCTGGTGATAAAAAAAGCATTTCGCACTTGCATAATAATATGATTCAATTAGTTGTCAAATGTTCATTTTTTTTAACAAACGATGTTGTCTACACTAAGTGGTGGATTCATCTGCTTTGATTGGTTTATGAGGGGTTTCTTCTAGCATGGTCTAATATTATTCATTTACTTCAAATATTTGACTTTCTTTTTGTCATAAAAAAAATTATTGAAGCAATTCACGCATATAAATACATTTAAGTTGCGCTTAGCATGCCTTGATTTAGAAAATGTCCTCTGCACATGCGTGAGCACGTGCATGAAGGCTAATTTATATTTATATAAAATAAATAGTATGTTATGCAAGTCCCTATTTGGATATGGGTGGATTTGGATTTGGTATGTTTGAGGATTTTAGGCCAAAACTCTGCTCAATAAGAAGCTCCTTTCACAAGTAACAATTCAGGTGGAAAACAAAGAAACTTACAAGATTAAGTGGACAAGTTTTGCTTTTGTGGAGAAATATTGAATCCGTAAAGAAAAGAAAGCATTCCGTGAATGCAAATACTTCCCTCATGTAAAGTAAATGCAAGCCTTGTTAAAAAGTTGTAGTACCAATCTAGTCATAATTACCCAAAGGGAGCAGTATGACACATTCAAGAAATATTTGCAGCCAATGAAACCTCGCACAACTCCCCTGGGTTTTGCCTTTCGGGCAAGGTTTGCTGCTTGGTGTACTACAATAAGAGTTTGTTATTAGTTTGAATGGTGCCTTTTGTGGGACCTTTGTTAGGCTTTAAGGCTCACAATAAAAACTAATACGGGTCTGAGCATGCCACTGTTATCTTTGTATAACAAATTGTTCTTTTTAGTTATTAAATGGATTGATTACTTATGCCACAAGTTATTTCGACTTCTTAGTTCGATTGGAGTGTTTATAGATGGGTTAAGTATGTATAAAGTTCTTTTTTCTTGCCTTGTAAACAAGGACTTTTACTCATAATATCATATGTCCAATTAAAGGGAGTTCAGGGTCCTTCAAATTATTTCTTTGGTTACAGTTTTAGGTTAACAA